AAATAATAAATTATTTCCTTAGAATTAATGAGATATTTGTTTTCCTATTTTACGTTATTTCCTATATCTCATAATAATTAATATGAATTAATTATTGGAGATATCAGGTGTTATACCATTCCTTTCATATCATTTCCTTTTATTATTTTTCCTATTACAAGATTCTTGTAAAAGTTATTTATAACCTTGTTCATATCAATGAAATATTGAGTATTCCACCACATTATTCTGAGTTTACATGGTATCAGAGCAAAGAGCAAACACGATTCTGAGTCTTATCATCTCCTCTTCCACGCCAAAATCTCATCTATCTTCTTTCTAAGCCAAAACACATGACAGACAAAACGCAAAATTCAGCAAAGCCTGAATCTAGCAAATTCAATAATCTGAATGACGCCTTTTATCTCCACTACTCAGATCAACCCGGTCTCGTGCTTGTTACGCAGCCGCTAAATGGAGAAAACTGCAATTCCTGGAGTCGTGTCATGTTGATGGCTCTCAACATAAAAAACTAAGTTTGTCAACGGCACCGTCCAAGAACCACCAGAGACGTCCATCGCAGAACTTCAACAATGGAGGCGCTGCAACAATCTTGTCAAGGCATGGTTGTTTAATTCAATTGCAGAAGACATTGGAGCAAGTACAATATACAACGAGAGTGCCCATGAAATCTGGCTTGATTTGAATTGAAGGAAAGTTTTTCTCGTACCAACAACGTTCATATTTTCCATGTCGAAGAAGCCATCCATGATTGCAAGCAAGGCGATATGACAGTTGGAGCTTATTAAACCAAGTTCAAAAACTTATGGGACGAACGTGACGCCCTCCATAACATTCCTAAATGCACGTGTGGTGCCATGAAGGAAGTGATGCAGTTTTAGCAAAACCAGAAAACCATGAAATTCCTCATGGGGCTTAATGAAACATACAATAGTATAAGAGGATAAATTTTGCTCATGGATCCCTTCCCAATGTCAGCAAGGCACATCTCTCGCGCTCCAAGAGGAAAATCAGCACGTCATGAACAATGTAAATGCGCCGCAGCCGGAAGCTTCAGCTTTTGCCATGAAGAATAATGCACGAAAATCAGAGAAGGTTTTCACGCCTAAAAATCCTCATTTAAAGTGTGAAAAATGTGACAAAATTGGGCATACCTCAGACACATGTCGAGCACATCTCAAATGCGATTATAGTGGATGACAGTGACACACCATCAATGACTGTAGGAAGCTGCAAAGGACCAATCCAGTGGGCAATAAATCTGAACGGAAAAATTTTGCTCCCAAAACCAACCATGCAAATACCAATACATCGACGAGTCATGCACCATTCACCCTTACAGCCGAACAATATCAGAACCTCATATCACTACTTGCAGAGAACAAATCTAATTTAATGGCTAATCATGTTGGCAGTACATCAGCCATGAGTGATATCTCAGGTAAAATCTTTTGTGCATCTGCTTTTGACAAATAAATAAGTTGGATTCTTGACACAGGAGCCACGAATCACATGATATATTCAGCCAACCTACTTACTACAAAATCCAGTGTCATCAATTGAAAATTTCACTTACCTAACGGGGCTACTGCAACTGTCACACACATGCAACATCCATTTTGCTGACTTTGTTCTACAAAATGTTTTATGTGTCCCCTCATTCAAATTAAATCTGATTTTCATTAGCAATTTTGTGCTTGATTTACAATGTCTTGTCATTTTTAATCAACACACTTGTGTGCTACATGACTAACAATTGGAGAAGATGATTGGGACGGGAACTAAAAGAGGACTCTACTACCTTGATACTCCACAAAAGAGCAAGTGCAATGTTGCTACTTCACCATCCCCAAATCTCTGGCATAAATGTCTAGGTCACCCATCAAAAAAAGTTTCCAGCATGTTTCCTTTTCCAATTATAGACAAGAAAATTTGTAATGTTTTTTATTGTTTAATTTGTCTATTGGATAAGCAAACTCGTTTATCTTTTTAAACAAGTTCCACTAGCTCAAAAACACTCTTGGAATTAATTCATGTTGACATTTGGGGAGGATACTAAGTTCCTTCAATCACAGGAGCGCGGTATTTTCTGTTCTCACAATTGTTGATGATTATACTCGATGCACATGGACTTATTTGATGAACCATAAATCAGATACACATTCATGCATCATCAAGTTCATAAACCTTGTTGAAACACAATTCAATCTAAAAGTCAAAATCATTTTAAGTGATAATGGTCCTGAATTCATATTGATGAATCTCTATCTCGACAAAGACATCATTCACTAATCAAGTTGTGTCTCAACTCCGCAACAAAATGGTGTAGCCGAAAGAAAACATTGTCACTTACTCAACATAGCCTGAGCCTTACTGTTTCAAGCTAATCTACCCAAAAAATTTTGGCGAGATGCAATCCTAACTGCCACCTACCTAATCAACCGAACACCAACACCCCTTCTCCAAGGAAAGACTCCTTTTGAAATGTTCTTCCAAACAAAACCCACATATGATCATTTGTGTGTGTTTGGGTGTCTTTGTTTTGCCTCAACACATCATCAGCGACCAAACAAGTTTGATCCCAGAGTCAGTCGATGTCTTTTCTTAGGGTATCCATATGCGCAAAAGGGCTATAGAGTCTATGACCTTTAAACTTATAGAGTCTATGACCTTTCAACTGAGAAGGTTTTTGTATCACGAGATGTTCGTTTCCATGAAAACACGTTTTCTTCACCCACACCGACATGCCTTCATTCGATAAATTACCTCAAGAAAATATTCCATCTTCTCAAGACAACGAAATTCCCTCTCAAGAAACTACTTCACCTTCAAATTTATTCTCAGAACAACCTGCAACTCTAGACTAACAAATATCATCACCACGACCAATAAGAACAACAAAAACACCTAACTATTTGCGTGAGTATCATGTTAGTATTTCTTTTCCCTCAAGATAGCCCCCAACATCGAACTCCGTGTTGGCCAAAATCATAGGACCTTCTATCCATTAACCGACATCTTGTCATATGCTAGATTGTCACTTAAACATCGTGCCTTTACCACCACCCTTTCAATTAAAAAGGAGCCAAGCACCTTTGTAGAAGCCGCTCGTAATCCAAAGTGGCAGGTTGCTATGCGAGAAGAACTTGATGCACTCAACGTCAATGGCACATGGTCCCTTATATCATTACCGCCTGGAAAGAGGCCAATTGGATGCAAATGGGTATACCAAATCAAACTTCGTGCAGATGGGATAGTTGAACGCTACAAGGCCAGATTAGTGGCAAAAATGTATAATAAAATTGAAGGGCTAGATTACCAGGAAACTTTGCCCCTGTAGCAAAGCTTGTAACTGCTCGCATACTTCTTGCGTTAGCTTCAACCAAGCAATGACATCTTCACCAACTAGATGTGAACAATGCTTTCTTGCATAGGGACCTTGACGAAGACGTATATATGTCGCTACCTCCTGGCCTCGGACGAAAGGGGGAGACTCGAGTTTGTAAACTCCACAAATCATTATATGATCTCAAACAAGCTTCACGACAATGGTTCCTCAAGCTTTCCACCGCTCTAAAGCAAGCTAATTTTATGCAATCAAAGGAAGACTATTCTTTGTTCGTCCAATCCCAGAATGGTAAATTCATCGCCTTCTTATATATGTAGATGATGTCATCATTGTAGGGAACAACTTACAAGAAATCGTTACGGGAACAACTTACAAGAAATCGAACATGTCAAAATATTCTTGAAGAACCAATTCAAATTAAAAGATCATGGAAAATTGAAATATTTCCTTGGTATTGAGGATGCGTGATCCCAGAAGGGTATTATGCTTTCACAACGAAAGTATGCTTTTAAAATACTCGAGGATGTTGGGTAACTTGTCGGTTAATCCGGCACAAACCCAGCCACTTTCCCTATGGAACAAAACTTATCTCTTAACAAATCAGAGAGAGAATATGTCAGTGATCCATCATCATACTGAAGACTAGTTGGGAGATTAATCTACTTGACTATCACACGTCCTGAATTGACATATGCAGTTCATGTCTTAAGTCAATTTATGAACAAACCACGAGTGTCACACTTAGAAGCAACCCATCGTATTCTACGTTACATAAAACAAACAGAAAGACAAGGAATTTTCCTCTCAGCAGAAAGCTCAACCCAACTAAATGTCTTTTGTGATGTAGATTGGGCTAGGTGTCGTGACACTCGAAGATCAGTTTTTGGGTATTGTATCTTTCTTGGGAGTTCATTAATTTCTTGGAAAACCAAGAAACAGACCACAGTATCATGCTCTAGTGCAGAAGTTGAATATCGGCCTATGACCACTACCTGCTGCGAGATTATTTGGCTAAGAACAATTCTGCAAGGTTTGGGGATCATGCATTCACATATTGCCAATTTATTTTGTGATAACCAAACAACACTTCACATCGCCTCGAACCGGGTATACCATGAGCGAACAAAACACATTGAGATTGATTGTCATCTCATACGAGAGAAAGTTCAAAAAGAAATAATAAAGTTGACTCATGTGTCTACTTTAGAATAGCCAGCAGACGTTTTCACAAAACCACTGAACTCTTCTCAGTTCTTGATACTACTCAACAAGTTAGGAATTATTAACATACATTCCAAACTTGAGGGGGAGTGTTAGGAGTTATGATAGGAAATAATTTATTCTTATAAATAAATTATTTTTTTAGAATTATAGTTATGGTAGGAAATAATTTATTCCTGTAAATAAATTATTTTTTTAGAATTAATGAGATATTTGTTTTCCTATTTTAGGTTATTTCATATATCTCCTAATAATTAATATGAATTAATTATTGGAGATATCAGACGTTATACTCTTCCTTTCATATCATTTCCTTTTTTTATTTTTCCTATTACAAGATTCTTGTAAAGGTTGTTTATAACTCCGCTCATATCAATGAAATAATGAGTATTCCACCACATTATTCTGAGTTTTAACAACTATCCTCTCATGACATAAAGAAAATACAATATGAGGTAGCAATTGCAAAACAAATCTTGATGAGTTCAAACATACAAAAGGAATCAAATTTACACATGCAGCATGTTACACAAGAGACTTATGCATGTGATTTAGAATTTTTGTAAGGAAATAAGTACCAGAGATGAAAGAAAAACAAAATTGAGAACTTGTAAGCCCGAAGCACCATTGTCGTCGTCAATAGGTACGAATTGAGCAAAAGGCGGTGCGAAACTAGGACCAACAGAGCTAGACGAGTTCGTGTTGCCGGCCCCGTTGCCGCTGCTTCCACTACCAGGAGGGTTTGTTCCAGTCCCATAACTATGCAGAGAAAATTCAGGATCAATGAAGGATAAACTATTTACATGAAAAAAATTAGGGAAATTTACATATAAACCACAAAACTTTTATGTGTTTGCATATCTAAAGCCCAAAATTTGATATTTACAATTATAACACTTTCGTGTCATAAATATGAGTGAAAATCTGTATTTCACTTTTAAGAAGATAGTGATTGTGTTGATGTGATGTTAGAGATTCGAGTTATATGCATGTAAATATGAATTTTTAGGAGTTAGATGTTGTAAATACATAAGAATTGTGTGGTATGTATGTAAATGCCCCAAAAGATTAACATGCCATGGCGCTCTTCACTGCTCACCTTCCTGGGAAAATGCAAGAGCCACTGCCTGCAAAGGAAAACAAATAGAGAAAAAAATATCAAATCAAAAATTGTCTCAAAATTGGATAAAGGATTATCTTTAGTAAACCATTCTTCCTTCCAAATATCCATCCTAAAATTTTTATTGTTGAGAAGATCAACTTCATTAACAATAACTTTTAGGCATATTTACCGCACAATTCTTACGTATTTACATATCAAACCCCTAAACAATCATATTTACATGCATATCTTTCAAATCTTCAACATCACATCAAAAATGCCACAATCACTATCTTTTTAAAAGTGAAATACATATTTTCATCTATAAGTTCATAACACAATTTGTTATAAGTGTAAATATCAAACTTCAACTCTATGTAAATACATAAGTACCATGTGGTATGTATGTAAATTTACCTAACTCATACTGTACGAAACTCGGATAACTACAACATTGTTGATCTAATTATCATGTCAAAAACAAACTCAACCTCACCAAACCAGCCAAACCACCATATAAATTGTTAAAATATAACCAAACCAGAGCCTTCAAATTTGTTAAGAATTACATTAGCTAGTAATAAAAGGTCTCACTTGGATCATTGCTAGTAATTGTAGCTGTGTTATTGAAGAAGCAGGTCCCTCCTTTGGCTTGGTACGCTTGGTAATATGCATCATACGCATATGATGCGATAGCTACGAGATTGTTAGCGACATAACAAGGCTGACCTGGCTGTATAGAACTGCAGTTTGCTAAACCGGGTCCACAGGCCCACTCTATGCCTGACTTTAGTGCATTAGGTTCAGCATTTTGTATTGCCACACAAAAATTTCCCCTTGAAGTGGTGTTTCCATCAGCTAAGCTTATAGATGTTGTGGCGCTAGGTAAGAATGCCTCCAAGTTGCCCTTTACATGTGAAGGATATGATATGCCTGCAGCAAACAAAGCATTGATTGAATAAATTTCATTACAAAAATTAAAGCCAGTAAATGTAGATATAGGTAGTCAAGAATTTGCTAAATTGAGTGTTTTAAGAGCTAATATTGAACATTAGAGCCTCCAAATTATTGTGATGGTGTTTGAAGTGGAAATAAAAAAGGATAGAATTGAAGCAAAGATGAGATATAAAAGAAGTTTGAAACAAACCAAGCAATTTTAGACTAATGACTCGATCAGAGTTGTGAAAATCAAACTGGACATTGAACTGGAAGGAGAAGTTTAACATTCAACGGTCCAACTACGGTTGAACTGGATGACATAATAAATATTAAATTTATTTTAATATAATGTAAATGATATAATAATGATACAATAATAATATTTTCAACAATTTAATATATATACTATTCTATTTGAGGAATCTTCACTCATAAATATTTTAATTAATATTTTTGGGCACTTCACTTTTAATAAAATTTTAGGACAAAATGTAATGAACTACTTTCTCTATTTTTAACTTAAATATTTCTTTTTTAACCATCCAATTTTTAGAAAAAAATTGAAATTTGATTAAATCCACTCGTTCATCAAAAACCATTTTGGTTCACCGGTTCAACCATTCAATTTTAATTCTGATTGATTTTATGTAGAAGCAGTTTTGAACTTGAATCGAACCGGCCGGGAGAATAGATTTTTTGTTGAATTAGTTAAACTAGCCGATCTTCTCAGGTTTTCAAAACCATGGCCTCATTATCAACTCAAAGGGATGTACGGATGTAGGGGCATCTACATACATACCACAAATTTCTTATGTATTTACATATCTAACATCTAAATATCCATGTTTACACTCAAACCTTTAACATTACACATTAAAAATACCACCATCACTATCTTTTTAAAAACCGAAATACACCCTTTCATGCATATATTTATGAAATCAAGGAGTTATAAGTGTAAATATATAACTTTGGAATGTTAGATATGTAAATACATTACAATGTGTGGTTTGCATGTAAATTTACCAATCTAACCAATTTAAATATTTACATATACCATTGTAGATTTTGGGTTGCTCATATCTGATTAAGATTCCATGTCACCATCCATATGTATGAAGCTCCAAGGAACAAGACAAGATATGGTGCTTACATGTTCTGATTAGTGAAAACAAATGATTCCTTGAGAATTGGTTAAAGAAGCAAATGGGGCCTACCTGATAAACATGACAACAAAATAACAAAAGGCAGAATATTCCCCTCCAATCTTTTAACAAGAAGCATCTTAATCAGCTATGCCTTGCATGAAATTAAAACATCAGCGCCTCCAAATTACAAGAAGAAAGCCACCAAAGCCAATCTGCAATATGCTAAGCAAAGTTAGAAAGATGTTAAGCAAGTGTGTTCCATACATTTCTGATAAAAAGTAAAAAAAATGCATTTCTAAAAAAAAAAATTTTAGCTAAGCCATAAATTAAGAATACTTTGACCTGCATATGTCTACAAACTTTTTCCAATAGAAAACATAATAAGATAACTAAGGGGCCATTTTGCAGTACTTATGATTTTGATTGATTTATTTATTTATTTAGTTTATATTTTGATTTGAAACAAAGCATGTTTAACATATTTGATTAAGATATGATTGCTAGTAAGAACACACAAAACACCTAAAAGTTATTTTCAATGTTTTCATAAATATGTTAATTTGTTGTCAAAAATAAAATATTAAAGGGGCATTTACATAAATAGCACACAATTCGCATGTATTTAAATATCTCACACCTAAACTTTAAAATTTACACATATCACTCATATCTTTCATATCACATAAAAAATGGCACTATTACAACTTTTTAAAAGTGAAATCTATTTTTTGCATAGGTTTAAAGCACCAAAGTCTTATGCATGTAATTATGAAAGTATAGTTGTGAGATATATAAATACGTAAGAATGTGTGTGCATGTAAACTTGCCAAAAATTAAAACATGCAAAAAATGCACTAAATAAACTTATATAGAAATTAAAAAATTAAAAAAAAATTGATCCCAAACAAGCGCTAAATAAGTAAATAAATAACTAGTTTTGTGGGAAAAAAGAAGGGATGTTGGATCTCATAACTATAACAAAATTCATTAAACAGTACTACTTTTAACCAAATAGCTAAACAGCAAAGTATAATGAAAACCATAACTAACAAGAGAAAACAACATGAACTTGAGGATAATTTTTTTTTCTGAAACAGTTTTATTCATATAACTATCAAAACAAATATGGCTTTATGAAGAAGCAAAATCCTAATTTGCAAAAAGAAGTTCAGAATAACTCCAAAATAGACAAATGCCCCCAAAAATATAAAGATTTGACATCTCACCCACCGCATTAACAAGTTGTACAAAATGGTTACATAAAAGAGAAGAATGAATGGATGAGGTTAATTCATAAACATAAAACAATTAAATTGGGGTAAAGCCAACACTGAAGATGAAATCTCTCCTACTATGATTATGACAAATGATACTAATAAATTTTTCAGAAAAAAAAAATTGCAGAAAGATAAAATTGATGATAAACCCATGGAGTTTAATATTTGATAATTGACAGAGGAACAGCAAAAAAAAATCAATGGAAAATAACTAGTGAAAAAATGCAAGCAAAGTTATTATATTTGCTAACTTTGCTTTACTATGTGCTAAGATAAATACATTCTTGACATGCTAAATGAAAAAGCTCTACAAATACCTTTTTTATTTTTTTGCCCCTGATGTTTTTAATTCATGAACTAATGCATATTAAGCAAAGCTCTCCATTTATGTATGCAAAGTTTATCCCCTACAGAATCTTTAGAGAGTGAAAATTGGAAGCTAGATTGATTTTGAATGAGCTCACTCTACTGTGGAGAAAGCAATGCAGAGAATGAAGAGTTTAGTTTTCTTTTTGAATATTCTAAGCCCTGTCTTACAAATCATAAAACTAATAAAGAACGCAGTTTTTTACACCATGAAGTTCAGATTTCCTCCTTGTGATGGAAAAGAGAAGCAAGTTCAGAGCTTTGAGCATCCGCAAGTAAAAGAGGCGCTTTAATGATACAAAGAAGCCCTAATCACAACCAAAGAAGGACACGAGAAAAGGGAGAGAAAGAGAAAGAGAGAGAGAGAGAGAGCAAAACTCACGAGGATGAAGAACAGACACAGCGCAGAGAAAATACTATCGGGGCGATCCAGTTACGACTATTTAAGATAAGACGAAAGAATCCGCGGTGGGGGGCTAGTCTCCCACCCGGTGGTCCGGGTTCCATTCGCACTAATCCGAAGTGCTCACTGCTGGGAGCTGAGGCAACCGGATCAAAATTTGCGACAATGAGGTAAACAGAGAAAATATCTGGTTGGGATTTTGAGAGTGAACCTTGAAAAGTATATCCTATTCTAATCTCAGTAAACTGAAAAGAAAAATGAGATTTGAGGGGGAAAGAGAGTCAATAAAATAATTAATGTGACGGCGTACAATACAGTGCTCTTGCCGGAATACTTGATGAAAAGACTGTGATGGGGGTAAGAGGGGTGTCGATACAACGCACATCCCTCGTGTTTGGGTGAAAAGATCAAGTCTCAAATGTCGGACCACATCTTTAATAATAACTTATAGATGTCTTTGCTAGTCATGATGTCCTTGTCTACTAGCTACCCTCGCATATGTGAGTTAGATCGTTCTTTAGAGGGAAGTGAATACAATCAGATCAACAAGAAGGATTAATTCAACCAGTTTGGAATGCAAGCTCGACTTAGTTATTTTAGCAAATGGGCTCAATTCAACAACTTAGATTGCTGGGTTTCAGGTGCTTCGGCAAGTGGGCTCGATTCATCCACTTCGGCAAGTAATCTTCATTCAATAAAATAAAAAAGTTTATGTATAATTGTATTTTGTGTAATCACATAATTCTCTGATTCTCTTGACCATTTGATGGGACTTCCATGTGAAGAACAGGAGAATGAAGTTTTTTTCCTCATCACTTGATTGACCTTCTTCTTCAGAGATTTTTAGGTGTGAGTATAACATGCCTTGGAAACCGAACCTTTCAACCAAGATGTTCATTGGTTGATCTTATGGAAATTGGATTCGTTTTTGCTTATTAACACACAGGGATTGTCCTTCGTCGGAGGGCACATTGTGCTTCTCCAGCAAGGAGCAGCCTCTCAAGTTCTGTTAATGGGTTCCTTAGGCCCTTCGGCTTCCCTGTGATAGAGGGTTGATTACATTTTTAAAGTTGGCTCATGACAGCTAGTATTGCCTGCAAGGATGTCTCGGTGGACAATACTAGCTATAACATTGTGGACCAGCAGGTGTATGTTATGCTAAGGTTCCAAAGGGTCTAATAGGTGCCACTTATGTTTTTATTATATATGTATCCAGTTTTTTAAAACCTATTTTGAAATTACATGCATATCTAGCTTAGACCATACATGACCCCAATTTCTTAAAAGCTTTTTCAACACCGACATCTAGTGGTACTTCTTCTAATCTGTGGATCCTTAAGATGGGGTCGGAGATGGCGACCACATCAATTCATACGCTAGCCTTCTAACGTCACCTTACACTCAGTTAGATGTTGTGATAGGACACTACGCTAGATGGTGTGCTAATCTAGGGCTAGGATGCTCGGTAGTTTTTTTTTATCCCCTGGTTATAGTTCTCTGTTGGTTTGGTTGCCTAGCTAGGCATCATTTTGTGATGTTTTGTGTGTTTACTAGGTGTGAGACGTGTGCACTAGTATATTAAGGGCGATGTTTTGTCAGAGAGTCTTGCCCAATAGGGAGGAACTGTAATGATTCATCTAATCATAGTTTCTGCAGGTATTTTTAGCTCTCCTCCCATCGGGCATGACTCATGATGTTGCATGTAGGTAGCTTTGTACTAACCTTATTTTCATGCAAGTATAATCTTTATGCATGCATGTCCTGATGAGATGTCCCCGTGCTTCTCCAACCCTACTAGCTCAACATAAGTTTTATACTTAGGTGATTCTCCTGCACGTTTAGAGCGTCAGAGGCTTCCTTTGTTGAGAGTGTTTTCAACTTTGTAGTTGGACTTCTCCTCTTCTCTTCCATTACAGCGACTTCCTTGCCATTTTGACAGGTATAAGTCACACCTCTGCTCTTCCTACTGAATTAGAGTTTCTTTCTCTTGACCTTAGGTTTGCTGAGGTTCCCTTGGATAATGCAATTCATGAATTGTTGATGAGGGGATCTTAGGTTATGCTTGGTCAACTACCTTCACGATCATGTAGACTCGGGGTCCTAATAGCTTGGGATGATAGATCTGTGGTATCCTAACCCGGCTATCTCTACCCGATTAGGGTTAATCTTCCCTTCCTTTGTTACCCCTTTGAGCACCCAGTCGCTCCTTTGACACTTTGTCGACGTCTTCTTATAAGCCATAATTGCAGATAGGCCAACGCCCTTTTAGAATATGATGATTCAACTTCTACCCTTATGGCCCTGTGAGGCGTTGGAAGCATAGTGTGGACTCTATGGGATAACTCATCTATTTCATAAGCCTGGGTCGCCGATGAGCCACCCTCTGTATGGGATCGTGAGAGACTCACTCTCTGCCCATATAAATCGGAATGAGCTTTGAAGGCATTCAGACTCTCCTGTGAGTAGCTGTTCTTTTTTAAACCCTTTATTAGTCGTTATAGAATTGTAAACAATATTCATTTAATGGAGAGTATTCTTAGACACCTCGTTGACCTCTAAGGTCTATCTATTTCTCTCTCTAGAATCTAATATCTAATCTTAGGATTTTCCTAATAACTCTCCTAAAGAGTGATTTTAGATTTATTATGAATGAATCTAAAATCACTTTTTAGGAGAGTGATTTAGATACATACCACCCAATTTCAATGCATTTACATATCCAAAACCTAAATTTAGCCTTTTACATTTATACCAACAAAATCTTTCATATGGCATTAAGAACAACCCCATTCTAACTTTCAAAAAGTGGAATACATTTTTTCTATACATAAATAAGATGATATCTACCCAAAAATTGATGTTGAAGTTTTAAATGTGTAAATACATGAGAATTGAGAGGTATTTATGTAAATATTCCAAAATAAAAATTTATGGTAGAATTTGAGATCTAATAAATCTCAAATTTTTAATGTATATTTTTATCTTTTACTTGTTCTTTATGAGAAGGATGTAAGAAGAAATCTTTTTATTTTATTTTAGTTTATTTATTTTATTTTTTTTTTTGGAGTCTTTTGAAACCGTGTGCCACAAAATCATGGTATTTATGGGTTGCTATTCCTTATTATTTAATAATTTGGGAAGAAATTGCAATTTTACCTAAACATGATCATTTCATAGTAGATCACAAAATAAAATTATTTAGGAAGATTTACATGCATACTACTTTTTATTTGCATATCTAACATTTAAAGTTCAATTTTTGCATTGATGCATTGCATGAAAATATATGTATTTCACTTTTTAAAAATTAAACTCCCGATATTTTAGGAAAAAATATTGCATCAGGACTCCGCACGTAGAGTTACGTGAGAGTTACGTGCGGAGTCCAATATGTGCGGAGTCCAATGAAATTACGCCACGTGGAGGTGACAGAAAAAAAACGGGCGCGATAACACCAGGAAATATTCCCCCCGTGTTATTTAGTGTTATTCAGGTGTTTTGTATGTTATTTAAATATTATTGTGTTTTGAGAATATTCCTGATGTTATAATAACACAATAACATAACAATAACACTTGAATAATACATAATAATACATGAATAACACACAATAACACATGAATAACACGAGAGGAATATTCCCTTATGTTACCGAACAGATTTTTTTTTTGTTACTGCCATGTGACGTGTGAGTCTACGTGCGGAGTCCTGATGCAATATTTTCTCATATTTTAGATATGATATAAAATTTTGTTTTGGGTTTTATAAATATTAAAATGTAAAATTTTGATCTTAGATATATTAATAATAAAAAAAGGGAGGTATGCTTGAAAATTCCTCAATTGTTTAGTGCTGTATATCATTTGTCAGCCGTCACCAACACCACTTAACGGCTGAGGTGTCTCCGAGTCATATCTTGTGCGGTTTCTTAACGTCATCCACTACAGGCTGGCTTCCATCTATTGCATATTTACAAATTAGCCAATTAGGCGTTTTTTTTTTAAAGGGCAATTGCATACATACCACCCAAACTTTGTTATTTACAAAGACACCCCACTCTTTAATCCATTTTTCAATTTCTCACTTAACATCAAAATTCATGCTAAAACACAATAGTTTTATCGTGACATGTATAAATGCACCGATTCGATAGTTTAAAAAAAGACACCTAATTGACTAATTTGTAAATATCAATGTTTCAGATGATCTGTATGTATTTATCCCCTTTTTTAAATTTTATTATAATTATGTTTTATTAAATACTATTATATTTGACTCCATAACTCTTTTGTCATTACTATAGATGAAATGAGAGTCCTTAAACAAAATATAATTGTTGAATTGTTAACAATGAAAATAATAAAGTGAAATTTCATGCTAAGTTCAAAAATAAATAAATAAAGTTTCGCGCTCAAGCTCTCTTTCAACCTAATTTATTATTTGAGAAACAGTTTATCAGAAGCTGTCGAAAAATTGTTGATTAAGAAACATGAGTTCGTTGTTGTGTTGTTGTTTTTTTATGAGAAACTATGTTTTGTCCTTATATATATAATATATTTGAATAAGTATAGTTTCAAAATAATGATGACTAAGTGACAGAAAAAGGCCATACGACTAAAAAAATATCTATATAGCGTAAAATATTCTAATATATAAAAAAAGTAATCAGTTATTTAAAACATATAACTACAATTATGAGGACAACTACAGTAACCAGTAAGTGTAAAATGATGTCTTGAAGTCCAAATGATCAAGACTTCGGGATAATCTCCTCTCCATGTTAGCATCTCTCCTCATCTGATCACGGTCTGGAGGGAACTCATTTGTCATTAATCTAATGGAAAAAGTCACAATATTCAGGAGTCGTGTTTTTAGGAGAGGAGTAAATTCTTCATCCGTAGCATGTCTTCCCTTTTTTATTGGTACGGAACACACCTATCGCCATAATGGCAAAGTGGAACTTTCGAGGTATCTAATGCTCTTGAACTCATATTTTCTGTTATTATAACATACTATAACAAAAAATAAGCAGATATAAACTTCAAAAAATATAAAAATAGACTTAAAATTTAAAAAAAAATAGTCAGGACACATAAAAAAGTTACAATACATATCGCTAGCATCCAATGACCCAACGTAAAGCTGAAATATGAATCATTAACAACAAATAAGTAGGTGATGCTACATAAATATGATTGTTACGTTTGCGAAAACATCTGTAATCTCTTCTCTTAACTGTATCATC